TAAAGTAGTTAAGTTAACCTGACTGTGGAAGTTCTGTGTATTGCAAAGTTGTATTGAGAAAGAATAAACTAGTTTTATTTAAGAAAGGACTTGTATCGCTAATGTTCCTCGGAAAGAACCTATACCGGAAATTAACAAACGACCAAATACGCATTACTATCATCAGTTTCATGAAATGCCAACGCAAATGATTTTTACGCTTGCAAGATCTTAATAAAGTTTCATTAGAAACAAGAAAACGATGAGATGATGTTTCGGAATAATGAAACACGTAAAATAAGATTTATGTACCAAGAAAAGACTGGAAACTATGACAAAAAAAAAGAAACATTTCAGTAAGCGTTTATTAGAATTAACGAAACATGAGTCGTACAGTAAAGGTAGAATACAGTACTTACAAAAAAAAAAAAACATACACGAATTTAAATTAATACAGTAAGGAGAAATAGTACCACAGTATAAGTCGTTTTGGCACGCCTTGCGAAATAATCTGATCCACCATATTTAGCGTTAAGCCTAAAATAATACATTGTGATATATTTTTGTCAATTTATTAACTAATTATGAAAACTCACACAGTTAATTAAATATTAAAGAACTTAATAGAGTATACAACTCTCATGCCTTCACCAATAGGAAAAGTTATTTTTCAACTACGTACAATAATTATCAAAAAATATCTGTTTGAATTACTAAAATATAAATGTTTTATATTTGAAGTATTACAGTTATCAGACAATAAAAATTATTTGGGATTAAAAAGGTACAAGTACAACAACAAGAATATTCATAGAAATAGGAAAACGCTACTGTAGGATATTATGGTTTCTCTTGTGTATTTAATATTCATTAATATTTTTTTTTATGTATCACCTACTTGCTTTTCATTTAAAGCTCAAACTAACAATTTAAACTGTCTCACAGTAATATTAATTAATTTTAGAACAATAATCATATCATAATAAAAATCAGCGAAATTTGTTTACCTTGTCATAATTACACAACTACTACTACATTTGGCCCAGTTTTCTCTTGACCATATACTTATTTCCAGTAGTTAACTTTATAATTAGAAAATTTATTGTAACAAAAACTGTGAGTGTTGAAATTGGTTTGAATTCTTAACTAGTCATTTCGCATATATACCCAAGAGAAGAATCATCAAAAATATGAGGCGTTTTCCGTATGTAATTAAACACAAAATTTTTCAGATAAATACTAATATGATGAATAGTATTAGTTTTTCTTAAAGAAGAAACAAGAAATTAATAGCTATTCATTAAAGTAAATTGCTTTGAAACTTGTTGAATTTACATTTCGTGATAATTATCGGGATTTCTTCTCTTAATCAACGTGATCACTCCCATAGCAGTTAGGGCTACACCAATCACCAAGGCAATCACTATACCTGCTATAGCGCCACCACTCAGTCCAACAGCTGTACCGTTTTCTTTTTCTAGAGAAGCCTTAGAAGGGATAAAAACCGAACTTGTTGAAGATGTGGTGGCTGTGGTCTTGTTGCTTACTGGCTCTGTTGTGGTTTGTGTTGTTGTTGTACTCGTAGTTGGCGGTGTTGTTGTAGTACTCGTAGTTGGCGGTGTTGTTGTTGTTGTACTCGTAGTTGACGGTGTTGTTGTTGTACTCGTAGTTGACGGTGTGGTTGTTGTCGATGGTGTTGTCGTGGTTGTAATCGTAGTCGATGTTGTTGCTGTGGTCACTGTATTCGTGGTCGTTGGCGTGGATATCTTTGTCAATGGTGTGGTTATGTATGTTGTTGTTGGTTTCAATGTCTCCGAAGTTGTAAAACTTGGAGCTAGTGTAGTGGCTGTTTGAGCTTTCATTTCGTAATCTATAACTATGTGGAAAACAAAAAATATTAATATTGCTAGAATGGCTATATTATCGTTTTAAAAAAATCAACAGAAACAGTAATAAATTATACAGTTACCCAAGATAATAGGCAAAACGCTACAAGCACAAAATAGGATATTAGCTAAAAATAAAACTACTGGAACTTTATGTGCGATTTTAAATAGATAGGTAAATAAAAAAGAGAACAAAAAGGTTGGCTAAGTATATTATTAATTTCGTTAGTAAGTTTGTTAACATGAAATGCAAGTTGGATATACCCCTCCCCCCCGTAATAACACAGTAGTGTAGTTGTTGTAGCCACTGTTGTTGTTTTTTATCTAGACAACTCCAGCTACATCATTAGCTCATCAATTTACCGAATTTAGCAAGCTAATTCAACAAGATCCTCCAATTGTTTGTTTGTTTGTAATTAAGCACAAAGCTACACAATGGGCTATCTGTGCTCTGCCCACCATGGGTATCGAAACCCGGATTCTAGCGTTTTAAGCCCGCAGACATACCACTGTGCCACTAGGGGGCTCCTCCAGTTGGAAAGGTTCCATGGGTGGGCCCGGCATAGCCAAGTGGTTACGGCGCTCAAATCGCAATCTGCGGGTCGCGGGTTCGAATCCCCGTCTCACCAAATATGCTCGCCCTTTCAGCCTTGGGGCGTTATAATGTGACAGTCAATCCAACTATTCGTTTGTAAAAGAGTAGCCCAAGAGTTGGCGGTGGGTGGTGATGACTAGCTGCCTTCCCTCTAGTCTTACACTGCTAAATTAGGGACGGCTAGCGCAGATAGCTTTGCGCGAAATTCATAACAAACAAACAATCCATGGGCATGGTTTGAACATAATTTGAAATAATTTCTAAAGGGAATAGGTGGAGTAGTAACAGCAAACTATTTATTAGTCTTATTGCAAGTTTAAAAGAACTAGCTTGAATAACATCCAACTGAGAGTTGTAACAACTATTAGGGATTATTGACCACCTTGTTACATTAGAAGAAATCTTCTTAAGCAAAGTTTTGAGGAAGAGTATGGAGGAAAGATAAAACTACACTCAAACTTAAAACGTAGAAAGACTTGAAAGAAAGTCTTGGTAATAAACCAAGGAAACGATAGCCAAACAGTAAAAAGAAACTACTATAGGTGTGAAAAACATGGACATTACATCCGAGACAGTGATGAATCACCAAGTCTTGTTAGTAAACCAAGGAAACGATAGCCAAACAGTAAAAAGAAACTACTATAGGTGTGAAAAACATGGACATTACATCCGAGACAGTGATGAATCACCAAGTCTTGTTAGTAAACCAAGGAAACGATAACCCGATGATGAGAATACTATGCCCCAAATGAGATATGGATCGCATTTGAAAAGGAAATCAGCCCACGAGTTAACGGAGTAATTGATGGTGAACTTTGCACCATGTGGATTAATAATAGTTCTATAGCTAACATTATTCGACCTGATCTGCTAATGAAACGTGGAAAATTAACTCCAGAAATGAAACAAGAAAATTGATTTGTGCAAATAGCAATTGGTAATAAAGTTCCACCTGACGATTTACGAAAGACGTACATGAATTAAGTACGCGCAATGTGAGTAATGATATGCTCGCTTAACTCTTTTTTTTTTTCTGTGGTTGCTCGTCACCTGCATTGTAGAACAGCTATGGCACATGAAACAACATTACGTGGCTGCTCTCCTTTTTCTTTCAGCGTTTTTTTTTAATTTATGACCTAACTTCCATTGCTGAAATGCCATCAGGATCAGTAACAAAATTATGATGAATAAATCAACCGGTGTTTTCATGGTGAAAATCCGCTGTCCTAACAACCTATACGATGTTCACTACTTTGTTCACAACAGTGCCGCCTGAGTGAACTTTTTTGACGTTTATCCAGAGTCTTATGCATAACCAGGGCCCGACATGACCAGGTGGTTTGGGCGCTCGACTCGCAATCTGAGGGTCGCGGGTTCGAATCCCCGTCACACCACACCAAACATGCTCGCCCTTTCAACCGTGGGGGGCGTTATAATGTGACGATCAATCCCACTATTCGTTGG